GTACTGATGGGGGTTTTCTTTCCGAACTTTTTATTTGAAGTAGAAATGAAAACGACAACATCTTGATTGTGTTCTTACTTTCTCTCCGAGTTACACATGCTATCCATTTTAGTTGTTTCTGCACTTGATAGTCCCCAAGTGATGCGGTTTCTGTTAAGAAATACAGTTCTTTTTGGGGGATTCTCTAGTACCAGTCCGCCAAGATCCACTGGCTTTACTCGCTCAAAGACCTTTTAACCATTGATCTTAGAAAGCGGCAGTTTTCAGCTGATACTTTAGATATGTCTGAAAGTGTTTGGCGCCAGGAAAGATATCCGTATGGAGGTCTCGATCTGGTGAGGTTTTTCTTAAGTACTTGACACGAGTTTTCAGTATGATGTCAACCCTTTGACATAAAATATTTTTAGTTTTTAGGAATTCTTTTTTTCGGGTGATAATGATAGAAGTCTTACTAATTTGCCCATAGCTGTGGGTAGTAGAGACTGATTCATAACCTTCCCATATGTATTTGCGCGTAAGTGTATATGACAAACACAGCTGGAATAGGAACCTGGATTTCCAATTAAGAATTCACAGTCTTTATCCATTATTTACACCCGCATATCCCATCTTATAAACCTGGTATTCCCAAGCGGTCATCCATCTAGATACTATTCTGTCTCAATTCTTTAATTTCCTCCTGTGGTTGATTTGCGAATGTTACATATTCTTCAGCTGCGTCTTTTGCGTCGTATCTACGAGGCAAACGGAACATGTAGAAAGAAGATTAATGAAGATTGCATCGTAACCATGAATTGCCGTAGGTCGGAACTGGCATAACTCGGGTGATTACTGTATCTATTTTCAACAAACTCATTCAGTAATCCGCTGATCGGCTTATAAATCCCGAATGTTTTCTTACAAGGAAAAGGCTAATGTACAGTTACTACTACCTTGAGCAGAATATATTTTTTTAATAATATATCACTTTAGGGAATAGGTAATCGTGAAACATCGTTGATTCTTATATTTATATAGTCAGGAATTATTGGAAAATATCGTGGAATGCTTTCTCATTACCTTCTCCGTTGTTTGGAATTCACTGTTTTCCTTCTTTTAGGTTGCCAAACGACGATAGAGACTGCTGTCTAGTGGAACGAGAAGGGTTGGTTTCATCCCTTTCTCAAAAGGCGTTCGTGCGAACGTGTATGCAAAAGACGAAGCTGACATTTGAACTCGGCATGAATATTCTATTACCCGAGTCGGTAATCCTTACATTACTAACAGTTTCACATTTTTCATGTATTGTTTAGATCTTAAGTAATCTAAAACCTGACACATCGGCACAATATGTGAGTTTCGAATTTAATGACATTGAAATCAAACAGTCACTGGAATCAAACTATCTGTATTGCTGTTAAATGTATGTTTTATACTGTCATAATGTTATTTTTGTTTACTGTTTTTTTTTTGTTTACAGGGGTCACTATTTGCCCATGACTGGCAACCTAACAGTTGCTAGCACCAGGGGTCAGCATGGACCTGGGAAAAAACCCTCTTCTCAAAACATCCGACCTTCCTATCAGAGAACTTGTTATCGGATTCACAGAGAAATGACTCCATAAAGTTTGACCCATACAATGATGAAATATGGAATAATTATAAGATTTATTAAAGAGCTCCTAAAATCTGGAGCTCTGAATATCTACATGATAATTAGAATTAATTGAAAATAATTTAAAAAGCAACCTCTTTATACCAATCATTTCATATATTGGATGTTTCATTAAGATGGATCAAAGCCAGCAGTAAATAAATCAGTGTTACTGGTGAAAATGTATTTATTTCTCTATTGGTGCATGTTATTTAAGTCATGGCAATTATGTGTGAACAATAATATCACCCAAATGTCCACCAAAGCTTTGGGGGAACACTTCCACTCGATGGTCAAAGTTTTTGATGACGTCTCCGCATAATTGCTCCTCGATCTCATCAATATGCTTTATTATCTCATCCTTTAGCTGTTAATTTTTTTGTTGGTTTGTTGGTATAGACTTTACGTTTGAGATCACTCCAAAGGAAGAAATATAAAAGCGTCAAGTCGCACGATCGTGGTAGCCAATTGACTTCGCTGTTTCGAGAGATGATGTGACCTGGGAACTTCTCATTCAAATTCTGTTTGAACGCCCATTTTCGTCAAAGACTTCGATGACTTTAACACGTTGTTTGATTGTTAATCTTTCCATGACTGAAATTGACAAAGACTTAAATTGTTAAATCTGAAAAAAAGAAAGACAAAGAAAAAGAAATAGACTCTTAAACTTCATTCACGTTTAAAATCGGTCCAAGTTAGAAAGAATAGCGTTTTAATCTCCACAAAAATTAAAGAATAGATGATGATACAAACGATCGTCTCGTTATTTCAAATACAATTTCTATACCTAATGAATTCGAGTGAAAGGTGAGAATATACGAGCGTAAATGGAAGTTAAAGTTAAGCAACATGAAATGCTATTAGAAATAGAATTAACCTGGCACTACTAAAAACAAGAACAGGACGAGATATCAATAGACATGCGTAGTGGATTTTGTTTTTTCTTTGATTTTCTTTAGCATGATGTCAATCTGTACGGTTTATGCAATGTCGAAATCTAAATATTTTCGCGCAATTTTATGGTTTTAACTAAATATAAAGTGTGTTCCAATAAACTGATTGTAAAAGTGAATTAAGTTTAAGCGTCTAATGACTTTTTTTCTTTTTTCTTTCAGATTTAACAACGTAACTTTGTGGCAATTTCAACCATGGAAACATTAACAATCAAACAACGTGTTAGAGTTATCGAAGATTATTACGAAAATGTACGTTCAAACAGAAATGCATTGTTTTGGTCAACATAATCAATCAACCAAGAGTGCAATTAGAAACGATGTAACGTTGTTGTGGAGAGGTTCTATTCCTGCGCGCGATGACGAACAGAGGGGGTCTGGATTTCCGGCCACATTCTCGTGCACTGCAGCAATGTTTTCAGCTGAACGGCGTAAACGAGCACGCAATGGTGATTTCACATCTGCCACCGAACCAGTTTGTTTGAATTTACGAACAATTTTTCCAATTGCACTCTTGAAACATTGTTTTATTGCTAATCTTTCCATTGTTGAAACTGGCAAAGATTTAAGATGATAAATCTGAAAAAAAAAAAAGAAAAAATTCTTCAGGCGCTAAAACTTAATTCACATTTAAAATCGGTCCAAGTTATTGGAACACGCTTTACTTTGAACGCAATATGTCTTCAATTACTGTATGCCTTTATGTATTGTTGGTAATTTTAGTATAAGTAAGCATTATTGATCATTTTTAATATAAACATATGTTGCTGGTATTTTTACTATAAAAGTGTATTTTTTATACTTTCATAATATTTTTTGTTTGTTGGCGGGGTCACTATTTGCCCATAGCTGTGACCTTAATAGTTGCTAACATCACAGGTCCGGAATGACCTGGGAAGAACACTTTTCTCAAAACTGCCATCCTGCATATCAGAGACCTTGCTATCGGATGTTGTTTATATTTATACCCAGGGCTATGTGCAGTGGAACGATAACTGTCAACCTCCTTAGATTAAATGTTTTGGTTAGGTTACCCGGAACGATATACTACTGATGAAAACCGGAAACCACAATGGCCAAGACGTTGTGACACCAACAACAAAGATGAGGACAATAGTCCGAAAGAAAGTAGTTTCAATGATAAGTACATGTTATAAACTAGTAAGCTCATAAATAAATTAAACAAAATCGAACATAGAATTTAACTTCGATATGACAAAAGAAACAAATAAGAGTTTGCATTTTGGGGAATATTCGGTTAATTCGAAATGCCACCGGTTTGAAATTAAGTGAATGTATGATATGCTGAGAATACCATTGACTGGACATGTGACTAATGAGGAAGATTTAAGGGGATAAGCAACTATAAAAAAATGTACCGTAACAATCAGAAACTGGAAGCTTAGAACTAAGAAAGGCGTGATGAACCGCTATGTACTATTTAATCTCGCACGATAAAAATACCATGGCCAATGTTAAATCTCTCTCACGGTCGTTCGACAAGCGACCCCAGCAAACTTTGCGACATTCTCACAAATGGTAGTGCCTTTATAATCAGGCAATGGCATGTCTTCCAGTGAATTACAAAGTTCGTGTTTCAATGATGATAACTCGACTTAATAGACTCAATATATCAGAGAAGTGGAAATTTTTGAAGAAAAGTAACTACCAAGAAGCTGCCGGAAACAATAAGGAAGCGACAACTGAGGAAAGAGAGCTTGGAGAATCCAACACTCACAGGATATATGGAAGAAACGAAAAGCAGGCGAAATATTAAGTAACATATTAATGAGTTTGAGGGAATCGATGTCAAAAAAGGATCAACATGCAGGTTCAAAAAGTAGGAATTATTTAGAGCAACAAAACAGGAAGTTGGTTGTCTGAATTTTTTAGTGGGATATCAACCTTTCTGGGTTATTTAGTACCAAAATATAAATATATTTATTTATTTGGAGGTAATAAGCGTTTTAGTCATACAATCTTACTAATTAACTCATATCTGGGGCATGAGAAGAAGAGGATTCATGCCTTTCCCAAAGATATTTGCGCGTAAGTAAATATAACGATTCTGCCAGGAATTAGAACTCGGCTCTCCGGTTAACAATTCCGTGCCATTATCCCTTAAACGACCCACATGTCCAAGCTTAAAACGCGTGGTATTCTCAAGCGGTAATCCGTCTAAATATAGACCAGGGTCTATATGTTGCTTAACTTCGGTTATTGTACGATAACCGGTGGTTCAGCGTGATGCGGTCGTAAACCAAATCTCCCACACATTCAAGATTACAGGAACTGGTATTCCAAAGCGGTCACCCATGTAAGTATTGACCAGCGTCTACGTTGCTTAACTTCGGTAATCGTACGATAGCCGGTGTTTCAACGTGATGCGGTCGTAAGCCAAACCGCTCACACATTCAACATATGGTATTCCAAAGCGGTCACCTATCTAAGTACTAACCAGTCTCTGCCTTGCTTAACTTCGGTAATCGTATGATAACCGGTGTTTCAACCTGATGCGGTCGTAAGCTAAATCTTCTACACATTCGAGTTTACAGTAGTGGTATTCTAAAGCGGTCACCCATCTAAGTACTGACCAGGCTCTACGTTGCTTAACTTTTGTAATCGTACGATAACCGGTGTTTAAACGTGATGCAGTCGTAAGCCAAACTGTCCATATATTCAAGCTTACAGTAGCTGGTATTCTTAAACGGTCACCCATCTAAGTACTACGTTGCTTAACTTTGGTGAACGCGAGAGAACCCGTATTTGAACATGATGCGCAAGGTATTTGTGGCGAATAATAAGCAGTTGTGTCCCACAAGTCCACCGAATATTAAAAATAAAGATGGCGAAGACACGATCTTGACGTTAAAGAACTTTGCCTTTACAGCAAATCACATAATCCGATACTGATAAAATTTCAAAGTTTTTATTCCTTTTCAGGATTCTAGAAGAACTGATCTCTTAAAGAAGAATAATCCTTACTAGTCTGAAGCGCTGAAAAGCAAACTAATGAAGCAGACTAACTTGTAAATTGATTGAAATATTTATTACCCCAATGTGACCTCAATAGCTCTGTCCGATCTCATTCAACAACAGTCGTAAAGACAGCTTCGAGGAATGTTGATGGGAAAACAGCCAAGATTGGATTAGCCAAATATGCGATGATGAAATTTTCCCTTTAACGAGATACTGGTGAAGATATTGGCCCATTCTAAACGTGAAAAGAGAGAAAGTCCCCTCGCCTTTACATATAAATGAGCGGTGAAATATATTCAAATGGCCAGGCAGAATGTATACCTTTTCTGTGTGTTTGCACACTGAACTCACACAATAGAGCCAAGAGAACATTTGCGGCTTTTGAGGCCGCTAAATAATTTTCGCCTCAATTGTGGAACCGTATTAATGTCATTTGCACTTAAGGCGAAAATTGATTCGAAGCGTTCACATTTCTAATTAAAAAAAAAAATGTTTAATTCGAGAAAACCTGATCTGCAGGGACGAACCAAAACTTCGGAAAAGACCTTTTTTTTTGTAATCTATCCCATTTAGATTTTTTTAGGATTTTCAGTGCCAATAATTCCCCCCCCCAAAAAAAAAACCATAGTAATTGATTTTAGATCCATATGCTATGTATATACAGTGTAACCCGGATATAAGAGACCCGGATATAAGAGAAACCCGGTTATGAGGGAGATTTTCTCTGATCCCAAATTAGAGCCATACTTACCTAAACAAAATAAACCAAACTCGGATATAAGAGAAACCCGGATATAAGAGACTTCTTCTCTGGTCCCGACAACTCTCTTATATCCGGGTTACACTGTACTAGAGATTTGGAGTGCCCGGCATATGGGACCAAAAGTGTTTCAAGATCAAATTAATGTATGGAAATGGTATGAGTATGTTTTAAATATATTCCCGAAGACATTTTTGACATATTTCACAAATTTAAATTATATTAATATTTGAAAATTTAAAAAATAAAGGGGAAAATATTTATCGCCCTCCTCACTTTTTTTTCTAGCGTTATACGTCTGAGACAATAGAGTAGGACAATTATGGTAAATAATTGTGTTAATTCGACTGTATTTCATAATGTGGGGCCTCAAAATTCACTGGAAGTCGGCAATTTTTCAAACTCGAGAATCAGTTAAGATTCGAATGACTTGCATAGCAAAAAGAAGCAGGAAAATATACAATTATCTAGAACTGATCATCTAAAAATTAACGATTAAGCATTTGCGAACTTTGATTAATTTTAAGAATCATAACTTGACAAATACTTTCTGAAATCCTGAAACTGATGAATTTCAAATAAATATAGAGATCTATTAGCGAAAAATGCCAGTATTTTGCTACGATTATTTATTGCTGCTTACAAGGAGCAATGTCAGCGTTCTCCCATAATTAAAAGTATAGTACAAGCCTTTGCGTACTACGGAAATGTATGAGTTTAGATATATACCTACATTACAATTTTATAAGACTCTTTCTCTTTCAGCGCTTAACGTTTGTTCATTTGATAATAACGTTCTGTAAGTAAACAATAAAGTAAATATAAACAGAAGTATTTTGAGCAATTCAAACGTTATTTTTAGTGAATGCCCGTATTTGATTAGACTATCCTTTTAGCGAGACTGTGAACTCAAAAAGCTTAATAAAGAAAATGTAAGCTCTGGCACGATTCGAACCTGCAAACCGCATTGCAAAAAGAAATCAGAGTCTCGCCCGGCGTTTTTCGATTGCTCGATGTTAGTTTTACTCTAACAACTAATAAAAATGATTCGGATTTAGGCTCGTTCGTAAAACGAAAAGAACGTAATAATTTTCAGTTCGTAAAACGAAAAGAAAGTAATAATTTTCAGTTCGTAAAACGAAAAGAACGTAATAATTTTCAGTTCGTAAATCGAAAAGAACGTAATAATTTTCAGAGTAAATAAAGAACATATTATTTTTGAAAGGTTTAAAAAATGCATAATAATAGGATATGAGTACACGAGCGTTTGCTTTCGATTATATTATAGCTGTATGGATGTACAATAGTGTCTTTTAATGAATATACCCATTCAGAAGAATCAGGCTCTTAAGGCTATGATAAAGGTTAGCATAATCGTTTCCATATAGGAAACCTTCAACAATCATTGACCGAATATTTCGCGCAAATCTCGGTTGAATTTTTAGAAAATCTTCATCTGAGAAAAGTTTTAAAGAAATTAAGTCCACTAATTGTCATTCCATTATCTAGAATTGATGAAGGCTTCCTTCTGAAAGATTTACATGTGTCATCCATTGCTGTTCTTGTAAGTCTACAAGTGGAGAAGTTTTGATATTTTGTAAAGCATTTTATTTCTGGTATAACAACTTGTGTTTTTAAGTTCTCACGAAGCATTATATACTTTAAGACATAGAAGATTCATTTGCTTGATTCAATTCTTAGACAATGATCTTGTGCTGATACAATTTTTAATCAATAAACGTATAATGACATCTTCAGAAGGATTGTCTCATTTAAGACAAAATTTTCATTCGCTTAATGACATTTTTAGTCATTAATCTTATCTTGATGCAATTATTAATCAATGATCTTATGATGAGATCTTACGAAGGATTGTTTGTTTTAAGGCATAGATCATTGGCATGATACAATTCATAATCAATGATCTTGATCTTAATTTTAATCACTGATGTTATGATGATATCTTACAAAATATTGTCTGTTGGAAGTTTCATTCACTTGATGCAATTTCAGAGTCAGTGATCTTATCTTGATACAATTTTAATCAATGATCTCATAATGATATCTTAAGAAGGATTGTCTACTTTAAGATAGAAGATTCATTCGCTCGATGCAGTTTTAGTCAAGGATGTTATATTGATGTAATTTGTAATCATGAATTTGTCTGCTTGAAAACAGGGAAGATTCATTAGATTTATGCAGTTTTTAATCAACGATGTTATCATGAGATTTATAGAAGGATTGTTCTGATTTATGACATAGGACATTCATTAGCTTGATGCAGTTATTAATCAATGATCTTGATGCAAGTTTTAATCAAAGATTTATTGATGAGATCTTCCGAATTATCGTCTGCTTTAAGAGATAGAAGATTCGTTCGATTAATTCAATTTTTACTCAGTGATCTTAACCTGATATAAGATTTAATCAATGATGTTATGACGAAATCTTACCAAGTATTGTCAAATTTAATACATAGACGATTCATTCGATTAATGCAATGTTTACTCGGTGATCTTACGGAGGATTGTCTGCTTCATAACATCCAGGATTCATTCAAATAATAATGAAATTATGAGAACATACGAAGCGTTGTCTGATTTAAGACAGAAGATTCATTCGCCTGATGCAAATTTAGTCAATGATCTTGATCTGAAATTTAATCAATGAACTCATGATGAGATCTTATTAAGCATTGTCTGATTTAAGACGTAAAAGATTCATTCGCTTGGTTCTATTTTTAATCAAATGATCTTCATACAGTTATTAATCAATGACCTTATGGGACGATCATGCGAAGGATCTCCTCCTTTAAGACATAGAAGATTCATTCACATGAAACGATTTTCAGTCAATGATCTTATCTTGATACCATTTTTAATCAATGGTCTTATGATGAGAAATTAAGCAGGATTGTTTGCATTAATTCATAGAAAATTCATTATCTTGATACAATTTTTGGTCAATGATCAGATGATATGATCTTGCGAAAGTTTGTCTCCCTAGAGACATAAAAGATTCATATCTTGATCAAATTCTTAATCCATCATCTGATGATGAGAACTTACGAAGGATTGTCTGATTTAAGACATAGAAGATTATGTACTTGATGCAAGTTTTAGACAATGATCTTATCTTGATGATATATTTAACTAATGATCTTATGATACGAATGATTGATTTAAGACAGAGAAATTATTAAAATTCATTCGCTTGATGCAATTTTTAACCACTGATCTTGATGCTATTTTAGTCAATTTTTCTTCAATGTTATCTTATGAAGGTTTATCTGGTTTAAGACATAAAAGACTCATTCTTTTGATGCAATTCTTAGTTCATCATCTTGTCTTGATGCATGTTTTTCAAATGAATGTACCATCATCGTTGGAAAATATGTCATCTGACTCCAGCTGTCATGATCTCTTTACAATGGTCAAATCAGACTAAAAATAGAGAATTGCTGCCATATCTGAGCTGGAGCTATACAATCCTATAAATGTAGCTCCGACAGAGTTCAGAACTATTTATGCGTCTTTGTAAGCGATTAATTATTTTCAACCCTACAACACTGTTATTGTTTAGCAACAAACTTATTGGTCCTGATCTTGATCCTCGTTTCCTTCTGCATTTATCACTTAATACTTTCATAGTAATTCTACTGTTAAGCCATCCTCTTTGGTACCACGCCCACAGAAATTGTTCATATGGGAACCAGTTATGTCTTCATAGAGTCGTTGAGGTATTACAATAGTTGTAGTTAGAATTGCATGTAAGAATGTGTTGTTATAGTGTAAGGTTTACTGTGGTATGTCTGGGTCAGTAATCGTGGATAGCTATACCCCTTTTCGCCTTTCTCGAACTTCTCTCTTATGAAATTCCCTTCAGCCATCTTTGATGTACAAAAATT